TGGGGATTGAGCCCAAAACCCAGGCACGTGCCCTTGACTGGAATCGAACCAGGGACCTTTCAGCCCGCAGTCTGACGCTCTATCCACTGAGCCGAACCAGCTGGGCTCATTTTAGTGCATTGTCTGGGGTCACTTAGCAGGGGTGTGTGGTGACATCAGGGCCCACACGTGTGTCTGCCTATCCTCTGAGCTTTTGCTGTCTCACCACATCGTCACTGTCAAAACTCCCGGAGGACAGCACCCTGGGCCACCTGCCTAGAGACCTCCCCCAGGGCATGGGCGAGACCCTGGGAGTTCAGGGCCATTCTAAAAATAAAGTGGGAAGAGTGGAGCATTCACTTGCAAAGTAAAAATCTGGGATGTCCTTTCAGACTACAGTGGGGCCTTGACTTATGAGTGTCCCGACTAACGAGTTTTTTCGAGATACGAGCCGTCTCTCAGCCAATTTTTTGCTTTGAGTTGCGACCTAAAATTTGGGTTACAAGCCAGCTTCAGATACCCCACCGCTAGTTAGCACAGCGAACGTCACAGTGAACGCCACATCAGCCCAGCATCACATGTCTCACTTGTTCACTTTAATGATTTGACATACGAGTAATTTGAGTTACAAGCTCCGTCACGGAACGAATTAAACTCGTAAGTCAAGGCCCCACGGTACTTGCTTAATCTTACCTAAGAATCTCCCGTGAAGACCACCTGGTTAGGTAGAGGTAGACATATTTTTCCTGTAAAAGTAAATACGTTAGGTTTTGCAGGCCATACAGTCTCCATTGCAGCTACTCAACTCGGCTGTGTAGTCAGAAAGCATCCATGACAATAGGCAAACACACGGTATGTCTTTGTTCCAATAAAACTTTATTTACAACAAGAGGACCGGATTTGGCCCGTGGGCACTGGGCTGGGCCATCCTGACCCCTCCTCACAGTGGTTACGGCTGTTTAGACAGAGTAGATCCCACGGGACGGGGCGCCCCCAAGGCCCCATCCGCTGTGAAGCGCCCCCTGGAAGGGGCGATGGGTGCCCAGCGCCAGCCAGGTGCCAGGTGCTTGCTCTCACGAGCAAAGATGAGCTCACTGCTCTCAGTCCGCTCCCGCTGGCTCCCGCGTTCGGGGCGTTATTCTATTGTGTTGCCGTGCCCCGTTTTGTGCCTAAGCACGCGCACAGGTCAGCGTCCCGCCGAGGCAGGAACCACAGCATGCGTTTTCTAGTGGCTACTGACTCCGTGTCCGTCCCCACAGACTGTAAGCGTCACCAGGGCAGGGTCCCTGACTGTTTTGCCAACTGTCATGTCCCTGGAACCTGGCTCAGCACAGGGCACATAGTGGGCTCCTGCCAGGCATGTGCTGAGTGAGTGGATGGATTAGCACTGAATGAGGAGGAGTCAGGGCAATGATGAGGAGGGGGCGCGGAGGTCACCCAGAGTTTTCCTGAGGGGCACCCTCGTTGCTTCTTGCCAGCACTGCCTGTGCTGCTCTAAGGCCGTTGAGCTCGGGCCTCTGGGCAGCAGTGAGTCCGGGGAGGGCAGGGGGAGCAGGTGGCAGACGGGGGGAAGGTCCTCGGGCGAGGCACTGAGGCAGGGCACCTGCAGCCACCAGGAGAGCAGGAGCCCACAGAGGGCTGCGTGAGCAAGGGGAGGCGTGTCCTGCAGTCGCCACCAGACACGGAATTAATTCCACCAGGCAGGCCTGCCGCTCTTGCCTCTGCCCGGCCTCTACCCACCTCTCTCCCTGGCATCGGGCACAGCCGTGGCTGCCCTGCCCTAGAGACTGCAACCCAATTCATAAATTCCCTTCCTAATTGGGCACAGGGATGAGGAGACGGTTATTAATAATGCAGGGGCTGTTTCATGCCCGCTAGGAGCCGGGCCTGAGACAGAGTCCTTGGTGACGAGCAGCCACCCTGCCACCGCGCTGGGCTCTGTGCCCAGGACGCCGGGCAGAGGTAAATACAGCAGAGGAGTGAGTGTCCCGGGGAGCTCGGGCCCCAGGCTGGAGTCACAGATGCGAGGACCCAGAGCCACTTCAGCAGGGAGGCCCCGGGCACCAGCCGGGGGAGCAGAGAAGCTAGGGGTGCCAGCTGCCTGTGCCCCCCTTCCTTCCCCGCTGGCCCAGGCCAACCCAGCGGACCTTCCCATGGGCTGCTGGGCCCTAGTGTCACCTCCTTCTCCCCAAGGCTTCCCGGTGCTCGGGTGATGGGTGCTCAGAGTGACCAGTGTGCAGGGTGACCGGTGCCCATGGTGACAAGTGTGCGGGGTGGCTGGTGTGCAGGGTGACCGGTGGGCAGGGTGACCGGTGTGCGGGGTGACTGGTGTGCAGGGTGACGGGTGCTCAGAGTGTTGGGTGCTCAGGGTGACGGGTGCTCAGGTGACCGGTGCTCAGGGTGATGGGTGCTCAGGGTGACGGGTGCTCAGGGTGAGGGGTGCTCAGGTGACCAGTGCTCAGGGTGATGGGTGCTCAGGTGACCGGTGCTCAGGGTGACGGGTGCTCAGGGTGAGGGGTGCTCAGGTGACCAGTGCTCAGGGTGATGGGTGCTCAGGTGACCGGTGCTCAGGGTGACGGGTGCTCAGGGTGAGGGGTGCTCAGGTGACCAGTGCTCAGGGTGATGGGTGCTCAGGTGACCGGTGCTCAGGGTGACGGGTGCTCAGGGTGAGGGGTGCTCAGGTGACCAGTGCTCAGGGTGATGGGTGCTCAGGTGACCGGTGCTCAGGGTGACGGGTGCTCAGGGTGAGGGGTGCTCAGGTGACCAGTGCTCAGGGTGATGGGTGCTCAGGTGACCGGTGCTCAGGGTGACGGGTGCTCAGGGTGAGGGGTGCTCAGGTGACCAGTGCTCAGGGTGATGGGTGCTCAGGTGACCGGTGCTCAGGGTGACGGGTGCTCAGGGTGAGGGGTGCTCAGGTGACCAGTGCTCAGGGTGATGGGTGCTCAGGTGACCGGTGCTCAGGGTGACGGGTGCTCAGGGTGAGGGGTGCTCAGGTGACCAGTGCTCAGGGTGATGGGTGCTCAGGTGACCGGTGCTCAGGGTGACGGGTGCTCAGGGTGAGGGGTGCTCAGGTGACCAGTGCTCAGGGTGATGGGTGCTCAGGTGACCGGTGCTCAGGGTGACGGGTGCTCAGGGTGAGGGGTGCTCAGGTGACCAGTGCTCAGGGTGATGGGTGCTCAGGTGACCGGTGCTCAGGGTGACGGGTGCTCAGGTGACCGGTGCTCAGGGTGAGGGGTGCGCTGTGCGGGCTGAGGCTGTCTGCTGCGGGCGCTCCCTGGCAGGCCTGTTCCATCCCACACCAGCCCATGGAGGAGGCTCTGATGCTTTCCCACTCACTGTGGGAAACTGAGATGAAATCTGAAAGGTGAGATGGTTTTCAAGGGTCAGAACCTGGAATTTAGCTGTAGGTCCCTACTCAAAGCCAGTGTGGATGGCCGCTGTGCTAAGCGGAGGAGGTGCCCCAGGAGGAGAGGCGGTGACAGTGATAACGGGGAGCCAGGGCAGGCCTGGCATTGGGAAGGGGTGGGCGCAGAGAAAGGGCAGGGGGAGAGGGGGCAGAGAGCACAGCCACGAGACTTGGCCTCTGGTGGCCTCGCTGGAGCAGGGCACGCCCACCCGCTGGGGCCTGGGCCTGAGAGGGAGGTGGGCAGGAAGGACCGCAGCTCACTGACCGATGCTCCCTGAACAGGTGGGTGCGTGAGGGATGCTGCACACCCCCCGGGGAGAGTGGCTGAGGAGAGGCCGAGGCCAGGGGGATGTGTGGGGCCAATGGGACTGCAGTGGGGTGGGGCCAGGGGCCCTGGGTGACTCTCCCTGTGAAGCCAACAGGGTGTCCCACTGGCCAGCCTTGCCGTCCAGCCCTCTGGATCCCCAGGACAGTGGGTGGTGGGGGCGCACTTAGGGCTGCCTGCTGGCAGAGCCCCTTGCGGAGACGGGCCAAGGCCCGTGCGCTTTCACAGGCAACAGTTTCCATCTGCCTGGGACGGGAGGCTCAGCCACGGCAGCCACGGCAGCCCCGCAGCCCCGCTGGCAAGCAGGAAGGGGCCCCTGCGCCAGGTTTGGGGGCAGTGTGCCACTTCCAGGGGGACCGTGGGCAAGAGAAGGTGGCCCCCAAAGCAGGCCAAGCACACCCTGCCTCCCCGCCACTGAAGGCCAGGGACCCCCACTTACACTGCAGTGTTCAACCTGCTTCCCTCCTGCAGGGTGGAGAAGGGGTGCCCCTTGCTTTTGGAAAAGGCAGGCACCTCCCCCCACACCCCACACCCCAGAGCGCTGCCCCCTGTCTTTCTGTTCAGTGAGGCAGGGGATTGTGCCTTCAGCGGGCACTCTGGCCTGGGGGGGAATCAGGAAGACTTATGAAGGAGAGAGTCTCTGTGCTGTACCCAGATTCCCACGGGCAGAGAAGGGGTGGAGCCCCGCCCCCGAGCTGAGATGGGGACGCTGTTTTCCCCTGGTCAGTTCCAAAGGGGACTTCTTCCTCCCTGGAAGGGGCCTCGGTCCCCCAAGTGCCATGTCTGCTCCTGTGCTTGTGGCTTTAAAGCCCAGCCCACTGCCCTGACCGGTGTGGCTCAGTGGATAGAGCATCGGCCTGCGGACTGAAGGGTCCCAGGTTCGATTCTGGTCAAGGGCATGTACCTTGGTTGTGGGCACATCCCCAGTAGGGGGCATGCAGGAGGCAGCTGGTCGATGTTTCTCTCTCATCGATGTTTCTAATTCTCTATCCGTCTCCCTTCCTCTCTGTAAAAAATCAATATATATATATATATATTAAAGCCCAGCCCACACCCTGGCGCCTCGGGGAGCCCCACCCGGAGCCGGCCCACGGGGGAGGGAGAGGCCCTGGCACAGGCCTCCTCCAGGATGCCCGGTGCCCATGAACGGACAGCAGGGCCTCAGTGGGCCCTTGTGCTGGGAGACAATGGGCGCTGTGTGGGGGTGGGGCGAGAGGGAGGAGGCTGTGGGCCCTGCCCCCAAGGCCGCCGCCTCCTCAGTGGACTCCAGCTGGGGACACCGAGGCAGTCACGGGGGCACTTGGCCCCTGGAGGAACCTCCGAGAACCCTTGTCCTGTGGTGCCTGGAGGCAGTACTGCGAGCAGGGCTGAGAGATGTGGGGCCCAGGGTCCCCCTCCTCTGAGCCCCAGAGTCCCCTTTGTCCACGGGCCTAGCAAACAGCCTCTGCCACCAAGTGCGTTAGCCAAGCTCCTGGGCCCGCAGGTGTCTCAGGGGAGTGGGAGGCAGGCCCGGCAGACCAGCTGGGAAATGCTCCCCGCACGTCAGCACCACGTGTGCTGGGGCCCGAGTGTGCAAGTGGCCGAGGGGGAGGACAGGCTCCCCTCGAGGACCTCATGGATTGAGTCGTGACCTGGGGGCCCTGCAGCCCCTGGTGTCAGATGCTTTGTTCTTCCTGACAGACTCGGCCGCCCCGTGCAAGCTGAAACAGCTGCACGTACCCACCACGTGGACCAAATCCAAGAAGGGAGAGAGCTTGCCCCTCTCGAGAAATTAGCTTCAGAACTGATGTTGATGGCCCAGCCAGCGTGGCTCAGTGGTTGAGCGTCGACACATGAACCAGGAGGTCATGGTTCGATTCCCGGTCAGGGTACATGCCCAGGTTGCAGGTCAGGGCACATGCCCGGGTTGCAGGCTCCATCCCCAGCGGAGGGCGTGTAGGACGCAGCTGATCCATGATTCTCTCTCATCACTGAGGCCTCTCTCCCTCTCTCCCTCTCCCTTCCTCTCTGAAATCAATAACAATATATTTAAAGAAAAGAACTGATGCTGATGAACCTCCCTTTCTCTCCTTCCTCCCAGGGTCCCCCATGAGCCCTGCCTCCCACCCCCACCCTCAGCGGAAGCGGATTTAATGCCTCAACTGAGAGAATGAGAGCTTCTGTTATTTTTCATGGGAAATTAAACCTGACCCTGCTGTCAGTTAGCTCATGCCCAGGGAGGATGGATGGCCCGGGGCGGGCGTGGTGCTTAACCCCTGCTGGGATAACGCCGCCTGGCTGGGGGCCAGCTATGATGTCACCTGCTGCCGGGTGGGGGTGGGGAGGGCAGGACGGGTCAGAGAGCCTCATCTGGGTGATGGATGGCAGCGAGGCCACCCTAGTGTCACCGCGATGGTGCACCTCTGACGCGGCCAGGTCCCGCTCGTCCGGGGAGACTCAGGCTGCCCCTCTCTCTTTCAGCTCCCAGCTCTACCTCGTGCCCCGCGGAGGAGAGCTGGTGGTCAGGGCTGGTGATCGTCATCGCGGTCTGCTGTGCCTCCCTGCTGTTCCTCACTGTGCTGGTCATCATTTGCTACAAAGCCATCAAGCGGTGAGTGTGACTGGCTTGGAGCCTTGAGGGCACCCCAGCTGGGCTCGGGGGCTACTCCACCCACCCCCACTGTGGGGGTTTTCATTATAAAAATTGTCAAGCATTTAAGAAGCGAGAGAACGTGCCAGGAACGTGCATCTACCTTCACTCTGATTCAACAGTTACCGAGATTGGGCTAATATTTGCTGCATCGCTTTCCTTTTCCTTTTAGCTTTTTTTTGCTGAAATAGTTGAAAGCTGATTGCATACCTCATACCCCCACCGTTTTTAGGGAGTTCAGCCGGGAGGCATGTGATGAGCACCAATCATAAGTCAGGCCCCGTGCGATAGAAAGCGACCCTTCCTGAAATCGCAGACCCTACTGTCGGGGCTCACCCAAAGCCTCGGGGTACGGAAATAATCCTCGCGGGGTCGGCAGGGGAGCCACTGGTGGGAGGCACCATGCTGGTTTGGAGTGGGGACTGGCTTTTGGAGTCCGTTTTAAATTCAGGCTCTCGTTCAAGCTGTGTTACCAGGAGGAAATCACTTGACCTCTCTGGTCCTCAGTGTCCTTATCTGTAAAATAGGGGGAAAGAATAAAACCTCGTGCTGTTCTGAGGAATGGTGAGATGCCTGCCTAAATAGTATGCACAATGCGTGTCCCTGTTGTGCCTGGTATACAGTAAGTGCTCACGAAGTGCTGCACCAGCTTCCATGTTTCAGTAGTCTCAGAGAGGGGCAGGATGACAGGGAGGGAGAAGTGCTTCTCTTGGGAGAAGAGGGAGGTTGAGATGCCTCAGAGAAAGTTTGCAGTAAATGGGACACCTAAGTTGGGTTTTGAAGGATGAATAGGAGTGTTCCAGTGAGGTCACGAAGGATCCAAACAGCAAACTATCTTTCAGTAACACTCACTGTCATTTCTGTAACCACCATCTCATCTTGCCTTTCAGAAGAGGCTGGGTGGCACCTAGTTGAGTTGGGGTTTGCATCACAGTGTGGCTGTTGTTGAGGTCTGAGGAGGTTTGGGCTGTGTCCTGGGCTCTATGTGTGGCACAGTGGGCCATGGTGTGAATGGCGCCCCCTGGAGTTACAACACAGAAGTTCTGCCAAGTCCCTTGGTGAGACTGGGAAGTCTTATCAAACTTCCAAAGAATGGCCTCCCTAGCTTAGCACAGGGACCTTGGGGGGAAGTCAGAATCAAAAGACCAAGAGAAATGTTTCAAAACACCAAAGGGCAATAGGAGTGGTTAATATATTTCTAAGAAAGTTCTTTTTTAAATGCCCTGTGGCCCTAAATTCAAGGAGCTACGTTAAGAGCAATCATAACACCTAAAATATTTAACTTTGCCCTTTTAATCAACTGTTCTATGTGATGTCACTTCAATAATTCAAAGCAGAAAGGGTAAAACATCAAGTTAAAGTCTTAAATGCACAGTAAGGCACACAGGGTGAAGGGACACGTCAAGCCAACAGCCTGGGAGTTTGCTGGGGACTGGGCCCAGGTCACAGCTCCGCGAGGGGCAGGCCATGTCCGGGTACCTGCCTCCCAGCCAGACCCCCTTCTGTCCCCAACACTCATGCTGCAAGGCACTCCCCCAAGTCAATAAATGGATAAATAACAAGGGTGTAACCTCAGCCAAGCGCTGGGCTCATCGCTCCACCAACCGTCTCTCAGGTCACCTCACTGCATCTTCTCCCGATCCGTCCCATTTCACAGAGGAGGAAACTGAGGCTCAGAGGTGTAAGGGAACTGCCCAGGGTGGCACAGCCTGGGAGCAGAGGAGTCAGAATCTGCACCCAGCACCAGTGATTCCAAAGGCAGCCTTGACCGCAGCTCCACATCAGTGTTACTGTTGAATCCCTCTCTGGCGTTGGGCTGAGAACAGACCTCGCTCTCCCTGCCTGCCCTCCCTCGAGGGTGCCTGGAAAAGGGGGTGGTGGGGTGTGTCTGAAGCCAGAAAAACAGGTGGACACAAAGGCCCCAGGACCCTGTAACTCAGGGACAGACCAGGCCTCAGGAGTCAAGGTGAAGGTGTTGGAGTCTCCCAGGGCGCGAGGTCAGCCCGATTCCCAGTGTCTGGTGGGCGCCTACTGTATGCACAGGATGTGCAGGTACAGAGACAGATAGGACAGGCCTGTGCCCACGGGTGGCTCACCTGGCTGCAGGGCGATGGGGGCGGATGCTAGAATGGCTGTTGGGAGGCAGGTGGGATGGGCTGCAGGAAGTCCCTGGCAGCCTGCTGTGGGCCCGGAGGAGTCCGTTAGCTCTGATCAGGGTGATAGCACATTTGAGCTGAGAGCCTGCTGCCCTGGGATGAGGACTGTGAGAAGCAGAGCAGGGGAGGCACTCCTGGCAGAGGCACCAGGCACCAGGAAGCCCCTGTGGCACGGGGTGTGAGGCTTGGTCCCACCTGGGACTTGGTGGGCACTGGGAGCTACTGAAGGGTCTTAGGAAGAGTGTGCAAGATCCCCCCGGGCACTGCCAGGGAATGTGACCCTAGTTCCATCAGGGACCCGTTCCCACTCCCCTGCCCTTCGGAGACAGGCAGCGGCACCTTTTTAAAAAGCCCAGCTCTTCCAGTCACTCAGAGTCACTCTGCCTCGCTGTCTTCCCCAAACTTCTGAGACACGCGCTGCTTCGAGGGAAGAGGGTAAAGGGAATATCTGACTAGCAGCACAGGCAGAGGCATGCGGGCTGTGCTTTAGCAGGACTGGGGTCCCCCAGGAAGACCTGTGGGGCTGCCACCCGCCTCCCCCCAGAACAGCTGGAGAGGCTCCTGTCACTCTGTCTTACTCCGCAGGATCTGAGCTCTTGGTTCCAGGGTCTGTTAACGGCCTGGAAAGACAAGGAACCCACCCCAGACGGCTCAGCTGATCCCACCAGGGGCTTCCTCCAGAGTGTGGGCGGGGCTTCCTCCAGATGAGGTGGGCGGGGCGCTCCAGATGAGGTGGGCGGGGCGTCCTCCAGATGAGGTGGGCGGGGCTCGAAGATCCTTGGAGCAAAGGAAGCTGGTAAAGCGGCCAGACCAGCAGCAGTGGAGCGGTTAGCACAGCTAAGACAAGGGCCAGGGAAGGTGCCAGGGGAACAACTGAGCCCAAAACAAGAAAGGAGGGGGAGGAAATGCCCTGACCTCTCCCTGGGGCTCCCGTCTCCTGAGGGTGACTCCCATTGGAAAACCCAAGAGCAGGGGCTCCCAGGAGAGGCAGCCCTCAGCATCCAGGGCCACAGGTTGGACAGGGATGGTGCATGGAGACTGCATCACAGTCCCTTTTCGGCCCCAACACCATGATCTGCATTCTCCTCTGGGCAAGACCTGGGGGCACGGGAATAAGACCCAGCCCCCCCACCCAAGACCCTCCTCATCCAGAAGAGCTCCCAGAGCTTCCCGCCCCCAGGCTCAGGCCTCCTTTGGCCGCCCATGGCTCCCGGTCCTTCACCTCCTGCCATCGATTGCCATTAAGCCACTTGACAGCCATTTCCTCCTGATTTACAAGGTGTTGGCCGAAAGAACAATAAAGGTTGCATAACAGGGCTGATCCCGCAGACCGTTAATTGCAGCCAATAAGCCAGCGTGCTGCTCCCTGGGAGTGAGCGAGCTCGCTGCATGTGCCCGAGCATGGCTGGGCACGCCCGTGATTGCGGGGCTCTGGTGCCCACCGGCTTCTCGTGGGTGAGCCACTTCCAGTAGAATGGGCACTTTTGAATGACCAAGTCTCTTTGATGATATCTGGCACCATTGACCGCCCCAGGGCTTCTCAGTGAGTCATTGCTGGTCCACAGGTATTTATTGAGCACCTACTGTGTGCTGGGGACTAGACGAGGTACCAGGATGTAGAGATAAATGAGACTGAGCCCCTGCCTACTCCCCACCACACCCCAATGGAAAAAGCAGATCATACACACACATACACACACACACACACCAGCACAGTAATAAATGAGGTTTTAAAAAACCATGAATACTACTGGGTGGGGGGGAACCTCAGAGTAATGGGGGAGAGGAAATGGGGGGGTGGAAATGGGGTTGCTTGGCCCACCAGAGTGAGTAGTATGTGCATGCCTCTTGAGGGGGCTTTATGGTTAGAGAGAACGGTGAGGGGTTGTACGTCCACTCCCACCTTTTAATTTAACAGGCCCTTCCGTGGGGGTGGGAGGCAGAAGCAGGCAAGCCGGGCAGCCCTCCCTTCCCAGGCTCCTCGGAGCTATTCTTTGCCACCAGCTTCCCCAGCAGAGCAGCAGGCTGAGGGTGGGACCTGTCACGTGGATGTCAGCAGGCCCAAGAGTAGGCACCTGCGGAGCCCCCCGGGGCACACCTTAGGTAGGAAGGCTGTGCAGGCAGGAGACCGCTGGCTGCTCCCCACCAACAGGAGCAGCGATGCTGACACCTTCCCAGCAGCCGTCCTGAGAGCTAACACACACTTACGGAGACCTACTGGGTGCCAGCGGCTCCTTGCAGAGCTTCACACACATTAACGTGTTAATCCCCCCGACAAACCTATGAAGCGGACACCGTCATTGTGCCCGTTTTATAGACCAGGAAACTGAGGCATAAAGAGGTCCAGTGACTTGCCCATGGAAGGACACAGTGGGGGTTTGGAGGCAGAGCCTCTTCCTGCTACAGGAACAACTCCAGCATCCACTGGGCTCCAGGGTGTCCCAGAAAGCCTCCGGGAGGGGGTGGGACAGAGCGGGGAGGAGAGTGGTTGCAGCTGAGCTCCCGTGGAGGAGGGAGCAGATCCAGCCCACTTCTCCGAGGGCCCTGGGCAGCCGCTCTCTCCTTCACGCGCTCAGACTCCAGGATGCCCCTGGGGGCGGGGGGGGGGGGCGGAAGGGAGGAGCTGGACCTGCCAGAGGTGCCCTTTGTGCTGGATGGAGCGCCTGCCCAGACCCCCTTTGTCCTTTCTGGCCTGGGGAGCTGGCTGGGCCATTGCCCAGGGCAT